CTTTTGTCAGACTCTTAGTATTATTTTTGTCTCTATTAAAAAAAATGCATGAAATGCATTCGTAATGCATTTTGTAAATGAAATGCATTTTGAGTTGAAGCATTTGCAGTTTTCCTTTAAATATTTTACTACCCAGTAAATATTCCAGCAACAATGTAGATGAATTTTAACAGAGTGTCTTACTGGTACTGCTTCTGCTAATTTACAAGATTTACAGCAATTACCATTCTTGAAAGCTAAAAAATAGTGAGTTATTTCATGAACACATAAAACAAGGCCTTTGGAAAGATTTAAAAAGACTATTAAAATGAAATATTTGACTCAGGCATAATTTGAGCTGGATACAAAATCAAAGTGCACTGTCATTCCTGACATTCATAAAAATAAGTTATTGTGTATTGTTTCCTCCTCTTTATTTCTGAATACAGATCAGTTTGAAAGAAACTAGATGCTTTTTTCCTTGTTTCTGAGCGTACTAGAAGGCTTGCTCCATGTCCAAATAAGAATTCATCCAGATACTAGTTAATGGTAGAGCCAAAGATGCTCATCTCAAGCTTATAATTTATAATAAATATAAACTTTGCATTTTTAAGTAACGGGACTTTTGTGAAAAAGACATCTATAAATTTGTTTCATCTTTTGGAAGATATGATATTTATGTAGGATTCCTCATCTCTCCCTCTGCCCCCCGCCAAAAAAAAAAAAGGAAGCCTGGAGATTTACCGTGAGAGGTACTTCACTGTCCTTCAGAGGTTAAAATTTTGTTGTATTGAAATCAGTGGAAAAAAATCTGTTAATTATTGGGACAGGACTGGCATTACCTTTGCAGACCACAGGTAACTTAAAAAACGAAACAAGATGGCATTTTTTTCCCCTAAGGTGTCCAAAATTGTGTTAGCATAGACTCCAACTGTTGTGTCTAGCCTTCAGATTCACTCTAGGTGCATGCACAAGTTATTGGACTTGAGTTCCCTGAATGTCATTGATAGTTTAGCTGGGACTAGATTTTTTCCCCTCTCTGATTTCATTTGAAAACTAGGTTACTTTTTCTAAAGAAATACATATATACATATATATATATATATGTATATTTTCAGGCAGATGTCTTGTATTTTAGCTGTTTTGAATATTGGCTCATTAGCATGTAGTGCTATAGTAAAAATATCATTCTAAGTTTGTGCAGTGTGCAGCACAGTTAGGGTTTTGAAATGGCTTTTGTGCAGTTTCATTAGGCTGCTCTTTTTTCTTTTTTGTCCTGACATAGACATATGCCGGTGATGTACTTGTGCTTTCTCTCGCTGTTACTTGCAGAAAGCTCAGGGTTAGAGTCCTGAAATATGCATGTGTTTATGTGTCATGGGATGCATTTGTCTAAACTGTAGAGGCAACTGAATCACAGGCCACGTAAGTGATAGTCACTTTTTGCTTCTGATCGGCACGTGGATGTCTTCGGCTCATCCTTGAGCATGATCCAACTGACCCATGCAGTTGCTGGCTTTCTGAGTCGTAACCACAACGTAGCCAGCCTGACTATACCGCTTCCTTGATGCTCACTTGCTTCAAGCATGTGCCAACAGCCTCTCTTTTAAAGCTGTTGTAAGTAAACCTGAGACTAGGAGCTCGTTCCTGCTGTTTCCCTGGAAGCGCAGGCAGCTCCAAGGCCAGAAGTCGCATTTGTGCTATTGGGTGGTGAAAACAGAGCAACGTTACAGATGGTTTCCCCAGATTCTCAGGTGGAGAGGTCTGGGAGGGAGGACTCTCTCACCGTTAAATATGGAGGAGATTCACCCAAGTGCTGCTTATGCTTCTGTTTTCTGTAAGTTCATTTTTTCTTGTCCTAGCCACGCAGTCTTAATGATTTCATCCCTTTTGCTGTATGAAAGGATGTATAAAAATATAACGCATAATATTGCAAAATGTAACATGGGTCATCACTGAGTATTGCTGGTGCAGTACTCAATGAGCTGCAGTATTTAAGGTCATCTTCAGTCAGAATTATTAAGCCTGAATAAATCTCTCTCTTAGGTGTAGCTGTCAAAATGGGAATAGCTGTCCTGAGAGTCTGCCTAGTTATGGGGGGCGGAGGGGGGATTCTCTCCCAAAACTACCAATAAAACTCCTATTTCTGGGAAGTTCATTGTATCTGTGAGTGCTGTTGTACATGCTGAGAGATGTGCCTGGGGGTGCATGAGAGGCATCTTGATACCTGGATGGAAATCAGTTGTCATTTTCTTTAATCACTGTGTTCTTCCTGAGAAAAAAGCCTTTATTAACTAAAGCTGAGTTGTATTTTGTACTTTAATGTAGTTGTACCTGTGTTGTGTGTGAATTGTACATAACTTACAGAAATCTTGTTTTTATACATTACCATCTTTAATTTTTAAAAATACCTTATGAAGACAGATGGAAAGTTTATTAGTTATTTGAATAATTTTGATCAAAGCATGCTTTTTATACTCTGTTGCTGAAGTCTTATCAGATGTCAGAAAGCATAGAGTAAATATCCTACAGAGTATTTTTTTTTCCTTTGTAAAGATAAAGAATTAATAGTAGGAAGGGGTAAAAGCAAAATAAAGGTACCCAAGAAAACTCAAATTTCAGTCTTGAAAATGTGACCTGTGATTTTTTTTTTTTTTTTTTTCTGTTCCTGTCACCTCACTCATGTAGGCTTGGCTTTTTTTTTATTGTTGAAATTTATTCTGCCTTTTAGAAGGCAGGTGTTTAAAGATGACTGGAAATCATCATCAAAATACACTTACTATGGAAGTTGTAGTTTCTGTAAAACTATAATGTAAAATAAATGAATAGGAAATTCACATTATTCAAGGTGTTTCGTGGCATTTTTGCTCAACAGCGTTTTTCAAGTATTCAAGGTTTTCCCTATATGCAGCTGCGCTCATGAAACCTGCGAATGGTGATTCTGTGCTTTTTAAATTTCTTTTTAAACTGTGTATCTACATGAGATAATATCTGGACATGCAGTTCTGCTGTATTGTCTAGTGTCTTGAATGCCCTTCTCAAGGCAAGTCAGAAGTACAAATGTCCCCTGGTAACATCAGGCACAAGCCACGTGGTCTAGGCGAGAGGTGTGACTTGGCTTTAACACACTAATAAATGCGATGGTTCCTTCCTTTAGTTCAAAGCAGATTAAAGCTAAGAGGTATAATGTGAATTCTCTGTAAATCGATGTTAGACAAATCCTCGTCATTTTTGTCAGGAAACCTAAAGTCTTGTTTTTGTCTCCATTAAGTATTCTGTCCATAAAATTACTAAGAGATAATGAGTAGTTCCTTTCTCACAGTCTGAACCATAGCATGGATTTTGACGAGCTACAGCTTGTTTCAAGAATGTCTCATTCACAAGTAAATATATTTATATGGGACTGTAAAAGGAACCATTTAAGAAGATGGCCCTGGAATGGCCATTTCCTGATCTTTTCCAGTGTCTGATGTCTGTTGCATTTGATCTATCTATATCATCCAGTTCCTTTGATTTCCCCCTAATATTCTGGAGGTGCTTAGTGGGGTTGTCATGATTGCTTTTGCCTTGATAAGGTGATAAGAGTTGTGATTTGCTGCACAGAAATATTTTCATTCTCTCAAGACATAAGAATTCTGTCCTATTTTTTTCTGCTTGGCAAGAAAATAGAGCAGTAACCCAGCACACTTCAGCTGTTTATGCTATCCCATTTCATACACACTTGAAAAATACAATTGTCTAAAATTTCCTTGAAGCACTGTATTTCTAAAATTGATTTATTGTTTTCTTTTGTGTTTTCTCAAACCAAACCAGATTTTATAGCCTTTTCACTGTTTGGCCCATCATACACTTTGAGTTAAACAATACTGAAAAGCCTGAATATGAGAGAAACCGGAGTCTACAGTATCAGCCTGGGGAGCCTTTATCAAATATTAACTTAGACTAATTCCTAACAGAAGGTGAATTTTTAATATATTTTTATATCTGGAGTGCATTACCTCTCCACTAAAACCACTCAATTTGAATATATAGGTGATGCATTGTTTATGAATAGACAATTTCAAAGCACATGACACATACACATTTTAAAGATGATTTAATGTGAAGTTTATGCACATGAATAATTTTAAAACAGTTACTATAACTGTTTAATGAGTAGCGCTAGCAAAGGTATGGGGTTAGCTTTGCTATTTCTGCTCTTTTATTCCAGAACCATATATTTAACTAAATGCATGTCAAAAAGCAAACTGGATACTAGATGCAAAGTCAGAGGTGAACTACACAGAGAACAGCAAGTGCTAAGGACATTATAGGACTTTTTAATAGCACGTGCTTCCAAGAGCTTCCTTACCCAGAGATGACAGCACACAGCCTTATCTTTACCCCTTAGTGGGATGCAGAGAGGAAGCAGGTGATGGTGATCCATCAGCCTCATCAAAACGGTTTCTTCCTGGACTGCTAAATATCTTTAGGCTTTGAAGTAAACCTGCTATGTCATTCATAGGGTTAGAAGTTTATGAAAACGGGTGTTGTAAGAAATTGCCACCTTGTGCAATATATTAAGAGGAAATAAAAATGCTTTTAAAAGCTTGAACCAATGTGAGTTTCATCAATTCTAAAATGGTTTGGAGTACATAAATTATGTGAGTTTATCTAATTTCATTGGGTTATGACAAAATGATGAATGAGTGTTGCTTTAACTATTTATTCCTACATTTTTAAATGCTTGGCCTTCAGTTTAATTCGAGGCTGAACTATGGTGGTTTTGCTGCTGTAATATTTTTGAACTGGAAGTAAGAAGTGCTCTCAGTGTTAGTTGTTTGAGGATTAGTAAAGACTTAAAAATGATTATGAATTCCTGTAAGATCAAACTGTTGAGCTGAGGCATGTACAGAAATGGGTTTGTCTCCATAGCTCTTGAATGTGCCCAGCCAGGTACAAGCTACTGGAAATGTGGATGAAGAAATTATTTCTCAGGTATTTTAATCTATTCTAACTAAGACATGAATCTCAGCCCTTACCTTGCGCAAAAGGAAAGAGCTGTGGTCCAAGTGTGAAAGCTGCTGATAGAAGTTTAAGAGGGAAGAAGTGAATGTTGAAAGAAGATGTTACCATTGCTCTTAAATATTGAATTCTCCTGTATATCTGGTTTTCGGTTTAGCTTTGCATTTGCATTTCAGAGTTCTCTGCAAAACTATGTGGAAAAGAATTGATACTTCCAACATATTTTCCTTAGCCAGAGGACACCCATTTAACAGCAAGAGTAGAGGGAATGGATCTAAAATTATTATTGTCCTTCTTTTTACTGTTTTTCATGTGGGTTTGGCTTGGGTGAAGTGAGATTTCAAAGACAGATGTGGGACACTTGAGCAGCTTGTCAGTAATACTTTTTTTCCAGCATGTTTTATTGACTTTGTTAAATAGATTGTGCTTTTTAATTTTATAACTATAGAAGGTCTTTTTTGCCAGTTTATTAGAATGGTGCTCCATTTTTTCTTTGCAAGTTTTTTAAAGCTGTTATGTTGAAAAAAATCAAACCATAAATAAAGATTTCTTTCAAGTCTTTACTTTTTATAGACCAGCTCTGGTGTCTTAGCATATCATCAATAATATGCATTCATTGCACTGCCTTTTTGCTTCTGGGAATGAAGTCTGAATGACTTAAATAAACAAAACAATAGAAAACGAGATTGGGCACAGCAGGAAAAAGAGGAAGCTTTTCCTGAAGAAGGAAAGATGAAAAAAGAAACTAATAAAAAACAGATTCTCTGGGCTAAATCAAAGACATCACATATATTTGTACAACAGTTAAATTGCCCCATTACACAAAAGTCTGGTTTTAGAAATGTGAAAAAAGTTGTTGGTATGAAGCAGTGTTCCCATGGACTGAGTGTGTGTCCTACTGGCAGTAGTAGGCAGTCATGGTTTTACGTCTGAAAAGACCTAGTGACTTCATCATAAACACTTTACAATTACATACATATTTAAGATGGAAAAAGTCATGGAAAAACCTCTATAGCCATTAAGGACTTCAGTGTTTTGTTTACAAAAGCGTTCTGCTCTACAAGCAGTATAGCCTGACAAATTTGCTTATGGTCTTTGTGGTGTTCCCCCCTCACCAACCCTGAAGAGCTGCAGAGCAGGAGTATTTGTTGTGGTTAAGGGTTTTGTATTCAATGTAGTATGTCCAGTCTGTGCTGGTAACTCATCCAAGCTACTTGGGGTAAAATTTTGGGAGTTCTTAAGGAATCTGTAGTTCTGAAACACTTTACAAAGACCAAAGGTTTTATCTGATTAAGAGATGGAGAAGGATTGCAATTTATAGCTGCTTTTAACAAACGGTGTAGGAGAAAATCAGTCTGCAAAAAGAAAAAGAAAAGAAGACAAGGCCTAGATCCTTTTAATCTTAGGAGATTTTAATTGATAGCAATAAGATTTTACCCAAAATATATAATTCTGAGACTTGCCAGATGATAATAAAAAGTGAATCATCTAAAATTTGTTGCAAAATTGTGATAGTTTACTTAGAAGAAAGATATTTTGATGGTGGCTGCTATATAGGAAGATTATACATCCATTTTTCTTTCAAAGACAATCTAGAACTTGCTGCTAATTTTCATGTTGTAAAGGAGATTGCTCTGCCTGTGCTTCCTTGAATTTCTCAAATGAATTGCAGGCAATTCAAGTGGCATATATATGTAGTCTTGATTTGAATAAGCAAGTTTTAGTGGATGAGAATAAAGAAATAGTATTGGAATGTACTAGTGTCTAGTGTCACTATGTAATCTAAACTTAAAAATGAATTTCATGTATTAAAAGGGGGTAAATTTTTGATACGAAATCCTTCTTCTACTATCAGTGGGGCAGTCAATGAGTCAGTGGGGTTCATGTTCCTTTGAAAGGTCTATTTCTGGTGCGTGCTTGTTTACCTAGAGCTTGAGGAAGTCTTTAATAGTGATATTAAATATCCTCTGTATTGAACAGCTTAGGCAGCATCTTGGCAATGTTTTTCCAATTTGGCTGGCAGCATCTGCATTATATTTTAGGTAAGATTAACTGTGTATACGACCTTGTTAGTTGCATTTTGTTTCATGTTTCTAGCAGGCTGGCATTTGAGTTTTGTGCATTTGTTTTATTGAATGGATCACTGCAAGAAATGATTATTTCTTAGTGTTGGGGAGGATTAGGGAAAGGAGAGTGCAGTAATAGATTTTGGTTTACCTTCCCTTCCCCCTCCTCCTGCATATGTATTTTATGGACCTGAATGTGTTTGTTGGGAAATAAATGAATGTTGTTTTCGGAAGAATGCTTCCTGTGCATAAACATAAGTCAGGCTCTGTGCCAGGTCTCTGAGCGCTGCCCGCTCCTCCTGGCCCCGAATGTAACAATCTCCTCTCTCTCTCTCTCTCTCTCTCTCTCTCCCCCCACCATGCACAGAGCACCTACATGTGGATTTGCTCTACAGATTTATTTCTTTGCAGGCATTTATTTGCTTTTCCTTCCCTTCTTGCATTTGGAGCTAGCTCTTATATTTCTATGTGGTGATGCATTTACTCAGAATAGCCTTCAGGTGTGTTGGCTCAACTGTGGATTTTAAGAACCCTTCATATTTTAGTTTAGCTGAGTGGTTCAAAACGATATATATATCACTTTCTAGTGCTGCAAAGGGAAGCTTTCAGATATATTTGCTGTGTAGTATGTGTCAGATACCTTGTGGTGTTTGCAGGCTCCCTGAAAGCCTGTCTTCAAAGATGATGACAACTCTTAATGTTTATGCTACAGAGCTATTTCACATGACCGTAACATCAGACATATCTCTCATTTAAAGACTCATTCTTCCAAGAGCTCATATTTCTTTGTGGTATAAATGGCTTTCTATTGTGAAAGTCTTTTTGAATAGAAAGTAGTTTACTTTGGCAGCAAATCCTTTTTTTTAGGGGAAATGAGGTGCATAGTTGAAGGCAACTGATAATTTTTTTAAAGAAAAGGACAACTATTGGTGGGGACCTATATAAATGCTCATGCTTAGACAAATATTGTTCTAGGCAGATCAGCATATATAATAGTCTGGTAAGATTTTATTTTTCTGTGAACATTTTTTCTCTTTTGTTTTCTTCTGTAAAAAGCTGCTGCAAGGCATTAGACTTCTGAAGAGGACTAGCTAAGAGCAGTCACTGTGGAGCCAAATTACTAGCTTGGATTAATTGTCGGTTATCCTCTTTATGAGGAAATTAGATCCAAATGATTAGGGAGTACCATCTCCATTGAGTATCCTCAATTCCTAAATTCTCTGTATGGTATACTTGATACTTTTTGAGAGGAAATAACTGTGGCACTGAGAGAACAGACTTGCTATCTGCAGGATTATAGTGTAGGAGCAGAATTATAATGGTCCTCACACAAGAAGAATGTTTCCCCACCGATATTAATACCTGCCTTGGTGCTGTGAGTTTTGTAACAGACCATTAGCAGCAGCCAATTGCAATGATCTTTCTGCCAGAATGAATGTCTGATGAGGTGCAAGTTGAGTGAAAACCAGCCCGTTGAAAAGAAACTCCTAGGAAAAGGAGACCTAGTTTCAGTGCTGCTTCTGTGTACAGTGGATTCAGTCCTTGCCTTACACCCAGTACATGTTTGTGCTTTAGTCCATAAACCTTGTTCCCAACTTTGCAGCTTTCTAAGTGTGATACTTGCAATAACAGCAGCAAAAAAGGCCCTGTGGTGTCCCAGAGTTTTCCAGGAATCCGTAAATGCCTAGGGATTGGCCCAACAGAAGAGTTCCTTATGTCAACTCCGCTCCTAGATGAACCCAGTTATAGAGTATACCAGTTGTAGTAATACATTCAGCAACACTGTGGGCATGAATGTCTTGTCTAAATCTTCATTCTCTTATAGTTGTAACCATTTGACAAAAACCATGGTCAAGAGTGAAGCTGTTCATGCTTCTGTCAGATCAAAGCCAAGTTCTGCATACGTGTTACATTAAGTACGGGTCTTTTCAGTGTTGGAAATGTTCACTGGTGAACCAAAATCAGGTTTCCGGGATGACAGACATCCAGATGTCTCGGAAAGGAGCCTCTGCTCGTAGTTACTTCAGGAACTCAGCTCAGTGTATGGTATGGAAGGGGATCTCTTTGTACATGATCAATCAGTTGCAGTCACTGATGACAGACTGTGTCCATAAACTGAGGTAGACCTCAGACTCTCAAATCTCACAGTGTGTAAACCTCAAGTTTGTGTGTAGAGCTTGTATTTATCAGTAATCTTAGCTAACATGCGTGCTGTTTAACTTTTAACAGAAATGATTGTTACTTTCAAGTGTTCCTTTTGATGTCTATTTTTGGATCCCTATCAAAACGGAACATGATTAAGATCTGTGTGGCCATTTGCAGCGTCTGCTCATTTTAAGGCTCATTGGAAGGAGTGCCCATAAGTCAGTGAAGGGCTGTGAAGAATCCTACTTGCATGTAAATCTAATGACAGGCAGACTCTGGCATTGCTTCAGTCTTGTGCGAGCATCTTGTGTTCCTCATGAAACTCACGGCAAATGAAAACCTGAGCAGTGCTTGCAGTTCCTCTCCTGTGAAGACCTTTTTATGCAAAATTAAATTCGTTCAAAGGTGAATGACACTGAATATCGCTAGGAGATTATATGCTATTCCTTGGATGTCATCAGTGGCTTTTGTATGTCAGGTAGTGAAAGCCTTGTCTGGGAGGCATAGATCATCTCCATCCATTTTGTAAAATAAACTTGGATGAGGGGAGGGAGATATTTCAGGCTCCAGTCAAATGTGTTCATGCGTTAGCTGAGCCAGGTTACTGTGCCTACCCCAAATCTAGCTGCTCATCTTTGCCCTTCAGGAGCAAAGGTAGCAGGCACCTCCAGTGTATTGCCGTACCTTTGCAACTAGTACATTCTGAACACTAGCAGGTTTTTAGTGAAGATCAATTTGACTGCCTTGCCTAACTAAACCACCAGATCTTTATCAGTGGCAAGCTCCAGTTTCCTTTAATCCCATCTTCCCCACTTTCAACTTTCTTTTCTGTATTCTTTCTTTTGCTCAACAAAAGAGCATATCAAACCTTACAGTGTATGTCTGAAGAGGCAGATTTTC